CCTGAAGCTTCGCCATAAGTCGAGTCTCACACATGAATGCTTACGGCGAGATCTAATTCTGAACGACTTGTCAGTTTCCGGAAAAGCGCTCTCCTTCACGCATCATGGACTCTTCTCTGTCGGAGATCCCGCGAAATGAGACGGAGATAATCCGGCTAGTTGATTCGAAGCTTGCTTGTTCATTAACGAGCGTTGAAAGCGCAATCATCGATGCGTAACGAGAGACCCGAGTCAAAATGGATACGGGGCGATAGTGACTCGGGTATCCGCTAGGAATCCGCACCCGTGCCAGTACTAATCATCATCGATCATTGCATCACACATCGTCATCTAGGTAACGGCAAGCGTGCTGCGAAGATGAGCGTCCATGCGCTCATGACTCTCAGAGTAGAAACTTGTGATCTTGATTCAGGCCTCTGTTTCACGTGTTCAAGGACCTGAGCGTATTGCGTCGGACGACGACGCGATCTCCCCAATTGGGTGATCGTACTCGCGAGCGAATCGGCATCAGACAGTGCGTTCCACATCGTCGGATATTAGAAGCAAGGAGTTAGTCGTCTGATCTGGCGAATCAAAAAGAACAAAACCCAGAGAAACCCTCCGCAGTTGATACCCAAACACAGGATCTGACCGAGGTGGGGAGGTGGTCTCCGAGCTCGGGACGCCCATTTGAGGATTAGCTCTGGCTAGGCTCTGGTTCAGCTCTAGCTCAACTTAATCTGCCGAGAGCTTGAGCTGTCTGCGGAGTTGGGCTCCACGAAGAACCCTCGTCGGCAGTTGTTACCAATCGAGGCAGCCAGCCAGGCACGGAACGAGAGGAACAGGGGATAGGGGATTTGCATATATCGTTTGGCATCTTTATTTCGCGCAGTTGAAATCATCACCAGTCAGTACGATCCACAATGCATCCGACCGAATCGGGGTCTCTTTCGAGGTGGTGATCTTCGTCATGGACCAGTCATCGAGCTTTCCGTCGAGCTAACCATGAAGTAAACGGGTCGGCACATCCTTGATTCGGCTGTAAGGAGGTTCATGCCGATGCGGCCCGCGGGGAATTTCCGGAGACCCATAAATGAGAAGTTATGAATCTATTTCCCGCATCTAGTAGCGGAGGGAGCTCAACGAACGAACGACGAATAATAAAATGGTAAAAGCCGAAAACTCCCGTCGGAAAAAATTTCAGTCCGCTGAAACCTTTCTCTCCGCTCATCTTCTTCCGTACGGATAAATCCTTCATACCGTGAGCGCATGAAGGGACGTCGTTCTCTAAGACATCGTCTACATCTCAAAATTGGGAATCCACCGGTAAAGCGTGACCCTGCCTGATTCCCACTCCGCACTGTGGTGCCCGAGTTGGTGTCTGAGCTTCGCGTCGCGACACATTGAAGGAGGATGCTTCAAATTCAAGCGTCATGATCTCTTGCGTTCCAGACACGGTGTCGGGATCCGAGAAACAATTATGACCTCTTCCATTAGTTCTGCTCAGTATGGCATCCACCCCACGAAACATGTCTATCGGCTTTGTTATTCCCTCCGGCCAAGTAAATCTCCAACACGAGAGATTGGGTCCTCTGATTAGTGGTCGATGACGAACAAGGATTAGCATCGAACAATCTTCGCTTTTTTTGCAGCATTGCCATGATCGGTTTCGGAAAAGTATCTCCAGGTGAACGAAGATGTTCTGGGGTCGATGAGAAGTTCGACAAGAATTTCAGAGTCGGAATTTAGTTCAGTAAGAATCATGCCGCTCGATCGCTATCGAGATGCGCTCATCGGTCGCGTATCCACCGAGCGGATCGAAGCCAGCGCGTGTTCTCCGTTGGCGCTAAAGCGAAACCTGAACGAACGTGTCAAAACATTCCACGGTGATTGTTCGCACAGATTTCGGCTGTCGAGCAATTGGTGAACTTTTCGTTTTACGCTCTTGTGTTGTTTGTTGAAAGGTAGAAAGTCGTGACGCTATCCAGATGCCATCAGAGATCGGGAAATCTCCACTTCGCTTATGTCATAATCACGAACGGATCATCACAAGAGCTGCCGGGCACTAATTGATATTTGACAGCGGATGTCGTGCTTGAAATTCTATCCTTCATGGAAACGTCGCCGCCTTACCACTGCTTGTCTATCGAGAATCGATCGGTAGAAATTAAGTTCCGTTCGTTCGACGCACGACTCGCAACTTTCTGAACTCATTCCAGTTCGCGGAGCCGACTGGCCGCGCTCATTAGACGGAAAATAACAAGACGTCGTATCTCTCATGAGTCGGTGGGACGTGAAAACGTCGTTGGCGTCGTCTGTAAGCCCTGTGGGACCCTGCAATCTATGGAGCGATATTCATTTCCTAGAGGGTATATGGAGCTTCATCGAAGACGATCGGTTCATGTATCGGGACCAGGGATCCTTCCCGGTTCCGACAGTTTGCTGTGGACGAATCAATTCTCACTATGGTTTTGACTTGACCCCATTAGAATATCAGGCCCCATTCCATTCGAGTGTACTCAAAGCGTTGTTTTCGAGTGTTATTGGACCGATCGCACATTCAGCCGCATGGCTTCGTATATTCTGTGTTCGGTGCTCATATTGAGCTGCGACGGTCACAGTGTGAACATGAGACCGGACACATCTAGGTCAAGATCGAAAATACTCGTAGGCTGAACTTGAGGTCTGAAGTCTTCCGAACGCTGAAATTCTGAGTGGAAATCCTCCTTGCGCAGCGACGTCGCGTCGATTCCGCTCGGATCGGAGAGGGATCTGGGCGGGAATCTTCCGAGAGCAAACAAACCAGTCGCTCCTAGATCTCTTCGAATTTCGAGTTTTCGAACATTCCATATCACATTCTTATAGTCTTGGACAAAGGCCATGACATTTCGGGGAGCAACGGTAGGCCTACAGAGGGCGTAGAGGACCAGTTCATTAGTGAGGACGACAAACGCTCCAAGGGTAGGGACGGCTCTCGATGGCGAGGAAAAAGATGTGGGATGGAGCGTATCGCTATCGATCATGATTCATGATGCGAGAAGGTCGCAAGGAACGATTCCGAAGCGTCATTATTCACAAACCCACTGTGGGGCTCAGAAATCGAAGAGACACACGACTTGAGGATCCGTTCCGGAGCTTTTGAATCCCGCTGGTTTCTTCCCGCATGCTGTTGCTTCAGAATCTTGAATAATCTTCGGACATCGAGGAACGGAACCCTGTACTCGATTACACCCACTGGAGAATTCATCCTGGTAGAATCCTGGAGATTCGAAATTCGAACTCGGAGTTTCTAAACGCAGCATGTCGTCTCATCGCGAGCTCATGCCCCCTTCGGCATCGCCCGACACGGGTGATTCTCTCAATTTCTCCTCGGACACAATCTTCTCCGTCAGTCCTATTAGGTCTCTCGAAATTCTGACAGACGGACGGAATGATTGAATGACCGATCGATTGCTTGTTTGCTGTACGGGCTTAAACAAGTCTGAGGCTGAAGCATTCGATTCGAGTCAATGCGAACGTTCCTGATAGGAGCTGATTCGGCGCAGGCACGAGACATCATTCACAGAAGCAAGACAAGTTAGAGCCCGCTGCCGAGTTCAACGCTCGAGTTTTTGAGAGCTGCGGCGGTAGGGAATGCCTGTGGATTTCTTCACACGATAGTGATTACGAAAACTGTTTTTTGAAAGAGACTTTCTTTCCTCTTTAACTCGAGAGGTCATTGATGTCGGAAGCAGGACAAGACACTTCAATACGTCTTACTCTCGCTCCAGGTTTCTTTCAGGTGAGCCTACATTCACTCTCAACGGCGCGGCACTCGGTGCCGAAGGATGAGAGAAAGTTCGAGCTCTTGATGAAAGACGTTCACCGAGGAAAATCCATCCCGAGACCGAAACTCGAACGATTAGTGCTGAGATTGATCGCGGGCTCGCGCAGGCACTCGAGAGCGAAATGTCGAGCTCTAGTTCGCGAAATGCGGAGAATCGAGAGCCGATCCTCCCCGTGGGGCACGGAATAGGATTTTGGAACATTCTTGTGGAATCGCCTGAGAGGTAGCGGATTCAGATTCAGACGACTTCTCAACTCTCAGAAAGGCTCATCTAGATCAAGCGGAAATTTCACTCGCACGACAGCGTTTGAATTCCAAATGAATTCACGAGCGCTCAACTCCTGGGCTTAGTTTAATTGCCTCGATTCCGCTCGATCGTGACGTTGTCGAAAACTGACAATCTGTCGACGACGACACCGAGGGAGAATGATACTGAACTCATGATTTCCTGTGGCTCCTCGGTCATTTTTGAAGATGTATAGAATCAAGAAATTCCACCTCTGACAGCTGGAACCAAGTCTCTAGCGCCGGCTGCGAAGTTTTTCTTCGCGTACAGAATTCTCAGAGATAGTTATTTTTTCTTCGACTCTGTTCCTTATTCACATCGCAGGTTTGGATCGAAGCAATATCCGATGGCGACTTCCTCGGCGCTGCTGATCACATACGCCGACGAAATCTATCAGATGTAAATCGAGGGAAATCTCTGGGGTTTGTGGGCACGGAATCGCATCGAAGGCAGAAATTTGCTCCCGACGTAGCTGATATCTCCATGCTGCGTCGCAAAGACCATGCGTGATTCGAATCTCCAATCGCGATCAGGGATTCAATCGTTTGAGGATCGCATCTTAATTCATCATGCCGAGCAATGAATCTTGGACGTCATGTTCGCAGAGTTCTCAAGGTAGAAAAGCTGGTGTTTAAACCCGCGTGCCGCGCGGGGAGTCGGAAGACTCGATCCGAGAAAATCGGGGGCATATTTTCCACGACCGTGGTGGCGTCACCGAATGTTCCTACTCGGTAGTCTGGAGGTCAGAGAGTCAGCTCTGAAGGTCTTTGGCCGTCTCGCTCATCTTGCGGAGTCTTCACCGCCGCGCCCTTGATCCGAATCGTCGCTGGAACTCCTTCTCTAGAAGACCCGCCCCGGATCCACAAATTTCTCTCGCAAAATTGATCACAGGGATCGATCAGGCGTGAAAAGAACTTTAATGTACAATGAAGGTCAACTAATCTCTGGTAAAAAGGTGGTTCTTCTTATCCACCTTTTGTACCACCGTGGCAGTCCTCCGTTCACCCAAGATCGGCTTGAGCGTTAAAACGTCATATTTACAATATAGACTAGTAGCCGTGAAAGTACTCTCCATCCCGCTGGCGAGCTTGTATTGATTTGTGGTCGAGAGCATATTCAGTATCTCCGAATAGAAATGAGGGTACGTAGGCAACTCGTAAAAAACCACGTGTCGAACTCCTTTGATTGTATATCGGTGAAAAAAATGGAATCGCTCTGAGTATAGAAGGAACTTCCGCTTACCATGGAAGAACATTGACCGAGCCTGAGCTACCCTGCCGTCCTCCGTATACTCGCTGATCTGACAAAACTTGAAGCCAGCATCTTGCTCTGCGAGATCCCTCATGAAGTTTCTCAGTCGAACGAAATCGAAGTATTGTCGAACGTAAATCATACAGTGAGAGACCAGGTTGTCCTTCATCAACTGCGGCAGGATTTCTTCAGTGAAAAACTCGAATCTTCTATTGCTGACGTCGGCGGCACTTCTCGGTTCGAAGGCTCTGAATATCTGCGGTACGTGAACTACAACCTGAGCTATCGACGGATCTTCAACCGGGTTACAAGCTGATACCAGGCCTCGATAATTGAAATTGTAGCGTTTGAGCAAGGCGTTGATTTGAGGGTTCTGGAATCGCGATAGGACGATGTTCTGTCGAAAATATTTCCCCCAATCGCTGACGCACCATGTACGAACGCGAGAAAAATCCACACCATGCGACTCCTTCGGTTTTGCGTGCAAATGCTTGAAGATATGAATCACATGCTCCCAGTTTTGCATGAAGAAAACATCGGTCTGATCCAATACGACGATCTCGATCGATGACAAGAAATCGAAATCACGTTTCTCGTCACCTTCCGCACCGATGATCGCTCGGAGGCCCACTGGCGACGCGATAACCAAGTCGGCCGAATAGAAACTAGCGTAAAGTTGCACCCGTCGTTTGGTGAAACGCAGTCCAATCCGGAACATGTCGTCTGTGTCTCCCTCGAAGAACTTGTAATAATCGTCGGGTTTTTTGCCTTGAATATCCTCATCGGGGGGTCTGAACTCTTGGTCGAAGCGATCTTCATTGATGACCTTGGATTTTGTCTCCTTCACCATTTCTAGGATGAGCTTTATGACTCGATACGCCGAGTTCTTGAAAGGTAGGATGATGAGCGCTTTGACCCGGGTCAGACCTTGATCCTGGAACTCCAAAGAGCTATTTGATTTCTTGATCTTCGTGCTGTGCTTCACGCTACGCGCTCTGCTTCGCAAAATGTGATTCATACAATGCAAGGTATAGCACAGACGGAGTGATTCAGCTCTCTCCCACGTGTGCTCGGGATAGTAGAAGTCTCTGTACGAATTGAGGATGTTGAGAATTGATTCTTCGAAGGGATCGAGCTTCGATTTAGACCGAGTGTCATCTTTTTCAAAGCTTTGCTGCGTCTTGAGAACTCGTTCAAGATTGTCGGCGATGAGCTTCTTTAAGACGACCTTTCCGGTAGATTTCAAATGAATGCTGGGAGTTTTCGCAGCGATTTTCGGAGGCTCTTGAATCTTGATTAGACCCAGATGCGGCCACTGCTGAGGTGGACTCGATTGCAAGACATAAGGCTCCGGGGGAAAGTCCCGATCGTCTGGCTCCCATTCTAAATGGGAAATGTAATTCGTGTCACCCTCCTCCTGGTCGTCTGCACTGTCATCCTCCTCATCCGAAGTGTTGTCTCGCACTCCTGAAAATCAATCGTGACGTCATTGGAGGATATTGAGAGGCATTCGAGAAATTCGGCGTTACCGTGGCTAACTATTTCGAAGTGCTTCGGGGGTACTTCCATCGCCGAGCCCTGACGAAGGCTACAACACGTACCGGTCTCTTGAACATGTTCGCTTCCATTCTTGGCCCGAACTGATTCTTTTTTCCTCTCATCCTTGCGTGGCGACGGAACTACGCCAAGCTGCTCATCCTCGGAGTCATCGTCTGTTCCCACCGAGGGCTCATCCTCCTGTTCGGCTCTGAGGGAAGAATAAAGCTGTGACCATCTGAAAGCTCTCCGCGGGGGGGGGGGAAGAATTGGCGAAAAATGAATGGTCGGTCGAGGATTTTCCTTCGACGATTACGTTGCACGCAATGATGGAGATCGTCACGTACTCTTCATCCTCGCGCGGACTCCCTCCTGCGGCCGAATCTTGGTCATCGACTTCCTGTAAGTTTTGCGGAAGGAATCGAATTGTTATCGGAATTCTGCCGGAGGAATCGTATTGAGCAAAAAGCAGAACCTCGCGAGGGTCCGTCGGATCTCACTCACATCCATGGAATCTCCATCTCCCTCTGAGTCTTCCTCGTCGCTCGCCATGTACGACTTCTTGTTGTTTGTGCCGTCCTTGCCGAATTCCTTCAGTAAGTCCCTCAGATCATCCTCTTCCTCGGATTCTTCGTCAGCGCCAGACGACTCTCCACCAACAGACTCCTGGATTGCGATTCACATTTTCAGTTTGGATTTAGAATCCGAGAATCCGTGAATGAACGGGGCGATGATCCGTATAGGAAAAAAATGAACACACCTCAATTTTCTCTGGGACCTCGTCCTCCTTGAATTTTTTCGCGCGACCATCGATGACATCGTAAGTGTCAATCAAATGCTTCTCCTCCAGATCATCCATTCTGCGACGTTTCTGCGCACCACCGCCCCTACCTCGTCTCCTCCGCATTCCGCCTGAGCCCGCTGAACCTCCTCTAGTAGGTCCCCGCGCACGACTAGCTCCCCCGCGTCTCCCCATATTGCCGCCGCCCCTTTTGCCCATGGCTAGCCCGAATCGTTTGGAGCAGCCGATTCGCCTCTGGAATGAAACAGTTCTCGCAGAAGAGGAAAGGCTCTCACAACTGTCCTTCACGTTCGGATCCCCTCGCAAGACGCTTCATCCTCGAAATTCAACAGTGATGGCAGCGAAGTCACCTTACCTCTCGAAGGTTCCAGCGAAAAATCGGAGGGGTGGATCAGCGCTCAACACCTCAAACGCTCATTTTTAAGCAAGGCACACCAGTCAATCGCGCCGTTTCTCGACTAGCTCTCATGCACGTGAGAATGTTTACAAACAACCACTGAGGGCGAGGCGGCTAGTTTGAATCTCATCGCACCGAGACGTCCGACCTCCCGCCGCCGCCCGGCGGACCCGGCTCTTGAGGCAACGTACCCGCATTTGTAAGCAGGAGACCCTCCAGGAGGGTCCCTCTCGAGGACGGTATCGGGATGTGAATGAATGTCGACATCGAAGTTTGGGGGGAAAGTCCCACCCTGGGGAAAGAGTGGCTTCATTCGATTCATATTCCCGTGGGAATCGGCAATCGAGAGGTTAGGAATCCGCCTGAGCGGCTCATTCCCCGTCCGGAACCCAAGCATCGATAGATGAAATCAGTGAGATGAGGTGCGGAAAAATGATGATTGATTCGAGGAGAGCGATCGGCGAAAATCGAAGCATGGAACCCTTCCGGTCGGATAACTTGTTTATTCCAAAACAATCGTAGTCTCCCTCCGAGCAATACGAATTACCCGCATAGGGAGCACCTTTACCCAAATCAATTCCTGCCTCACGCCGAACACCTTGAATCGAGATAAGGGCGTAGAGACCTGCAGCTCTCCGCGGCTCGGATCGAACTTCCGCAGCCAAGAGCCGCCCGCACCCCTGACGCGTAATATGATAGAGCCAAACAAATAACGCTCCAGTCGACATCTGGCGGAGATTCGACGCCACACCCACTGATGCAAACGGCGCGCAACTCCTCCAGCAAACCCATGAACGAGCTTTGCGTTGCCAACCTGAACGGAAGGTTACCTGACTGAGCTAAATTCCTGGAGCAACCCGTAAGGATACTTCAACTCCTGAGCGCTTCAGAGGCGTCCGCCCCGCGAACAGGGCGTCTTACCTGCACAAGCCGAGCACGAAGTACCCGTGAAAATTCGACCCCAAATCGGAGGCGGTGACTCCTGAATCATCGAGCGCATTGCCGACACACAAATCTATGAGATCTCGGAAGGCACCGTGAACTCGGCCTGGCAGTCGGACGGAGTCCCAGGGACATTCCAGGGGTTGCCACGACAGCGGCCCGAGAGACTTGAACCCACACTTATTTCTCTCGAATTCCTCGTGCCGAGATAGGAATGTCTGATACGAAGCGATGGTGTTTGCCACCAACAAGTACCAGTTCTGACAGTTATACTCGAAGAAATTGGCACAAGCCAAATGCCTGAGCGTTGGACTTTCCGTGAGGAAGTCTCGGAAATCATTCAGACTTTCGATGCCTTTCCTGGAAGAGACGCTCCATTTAGGTATCATCAGCCCCTACTCGGTCTCGGATTGGTCGCGAACTGACCTCTTCGACGCACTAGAGCGCAGATAGGCTCTCAGCGCTGAATTGCGGGTTTCGTTCCTGGAGATGGGGAAGGCATTTTTCGTACTCAGCCATGCAGCGAAGTATACCAATCCGACGACGATCGCAGTCGAGAACATCAGGAGATATTTGCAACATATCTGCATGTCGCTGTCGACGTCCATATCGGCGTCATCCCTCCTGGTCGTGCTCCTGACTGGCTCATCATGGGAACTCTCAGTGGTTTCCCTCTCCATGACGTGATCTTAGTGCATCGTTTTCATCGACGGATTCAGTTTCAGATGTGGCATACAGCCCATCCGCGACCACACATTGCGGCACTCACTTGTTTCTCTCTCTTCTCGTGCGCTACTGACGGGCGATGCTCATCTGCATTGCGTTTCGCGTTCTCGCTCGCAGGTGAAGAAGAGTCCTAGCTCATGCCCCTGGGCGCGGGATCCTATGCAGGTATTTGTGAACTATCTTCATTCTCAGGAGGAGAGGTTTGCAGAGTTGACAATTAGCTAAGGTACACAGTGAATTTCGAAATCTTCAGAGGAGATCCGGCTTGGTGGTCCGAAACGAGCCTGCTCGCTTTCGGTCAATCCATCGTGGTTTATAGCCCTGCAAACGCGCTACCTGGGTAGCGAGCACGGAATCGACCGAATTCGGATTCATGCATACATGTAGCGATTACATGAAGAGTGAATATTTCGCTCGAGACCGTCTCCCACTTCACCGAGAATCAGAATCTGATTGAAACGTTCTCGACACATGAGAAACGCGTCTTGCATGTTATCCATATGATGATTCATCTATCCAGCCGAATTTCCGCTGAGCTCCTGAGTAAGCGTATTGCTCTCATCATCATCACGATGAGACTTCATTCTAGACCTCGACGACAGCTGCTGCAGAAGCAAGGCACCGACCACGACGGCGGAACCCTCTTTGCTCAGCAGGAATTTCCTCCCTCCCGGATCTTGCCCCCGACTACGGTTCATTCTCCCTGAGAGCAGCCACTATTCATGACTCCGATATCTACCGTGGTAAAGGTCTGAGAAAAACATGGCTCGGGCCATCAGAATTCGGCGCGAATTTCACCGTTTCGGCGACCCGCGCAGTCATGGAAGCTCAGGGCGAGTGAGAGGAGACTACTCGCGCGGTTGTCCTTCAGGTGTGGCGCCCTCTAGGTTGGGTTCCGGGAAAGTTTTTTGTTTCCGTCAGTCGAAAAGCACCATTCTCTTTCCTTCAGTGTGAGTGCATACAGCTCTGAAGTAGCTAGCGGCTCGAGGTCTGTGCGCGTTCCAAAACTCCGATCAGGGGCTCGACACCTCGTCACGAGGAAATCTCGATCGCGCGCATCGATCCCCAAGAGCCTCATCTTCGTTGTCAGACATTCGGGAATCCGGTTCTGTCTCCGAGCTTTCTCGCCGGGTTGATATCATTCACACCGTCGACATGCCTCCCTTGGGCAGATCCTCTGGCGGACGGAACATTCGGTAAGTTGATGAAATTCCGATTCAAAGTGAACTTCCGCATCAGATTGCATTTCCGAACTAGGAAAACACGTCCCTGTTGCTGGTGCCGAACCGCGGGCATTCTTGGTGAGGCGCCGTTCATTGCTCAATGAGGCTTCGTAGAAATGTAAATGTCAGAGGTTAATTACGATTTCTCGAAAAGTCTCCGAAACGCGATGTCTTCTCGATAATCGCTCTGAGAGACTGTCCCGAAGAGGCTGTCTCGTCAATCGCATCCTGGTTACCCACAGGGTTTCCGAAAGTGTCTAGAGTCAGCCCCGAGGATTTCGCGTGTTTTCTCTGCGCTCCGTCTAGAACCGTAATGAGTAATGGGTGATGAAGTATCTAGTTGCAAAGCGCGAAATGCTGAGTCGTCGATTAGTCCCCGTGCCCGCGTCAGTATTAGGAATCGCCTAGCCTTCAGCGCCGACAAGCTTCACAAACAAGCGGATTTCAAGCGAACATCGCTTAAAAATGGCCATACTGCATCCGAGTGGGAGGCCGGCCCGAATAGTCTGTCACTGCGACTGTCATCCGGAGAGCCTGTCCCTAAAAATTTAAGCCCACTCGTAGCGACGGGAAAAAGTGGTCGCTTGTGCGTTCGTTCTCTCCCGGCGCTGCGATTTCGTGTACGTCAACGCAGACCTCTACTGCAAAGGAAGCACCGCATCGCCCTTTTGCGTCTTATTCTGAGCATCAATGATGAGGCACTCCCGCTTCACGAATGACCGCTCGATCACCGAATCGCGGACAAGATATCACGCTCACCTAGGCCGCAATTAGATAAACTTGGCTAGAAAAAGTCTGGCCCCTGCTCGTATCAGGAGCAGAGCTGCGCTCATATGGCTTCAAGGCGGACCGACTTTTTCCCAGTGTGCTTCTCCGGCGCCTCATACGACGCAGTTTCCATAAATGAGCTTGATCGATGAGGGAAGCCAAGGCTGAGGACTTTTGGTGGCTCTCAGCTTGACATTATTCCTCGGAGGGAGAACGTCCTCCGCTCGTAACACGAAAGAAACTCGTATCGATTGAGTTGCCTCCCGTGTGTTTTCGGCTTCGCGACTATCAAACCAAACTCCCAAGGGATTTCTCTCGCAGGGTGTTTGAATCTCACTACTTCCGGAAGGGGACGAGAAGAAAGCGGGGAGAGGAGTTCTTCTTCAATTTGAGGATTCCGGAGTCTGGAGGGGAAGAGCCTTCGCTGAGAAGATTGAAAACAGTTTCTCGGGGTCCCAGGAGGCGAGTTTCCTCTATCGCTCGACCTTGACAAGTGTTGCTTGCCGCTCGTCACGTAGTGATCTCATGTATTGTTGTTTACACGAGGACGAGCGAGTTCAGTCGGGTATACGTGGCAGCCCCGCTGATTGTGAGTGAGCGGGATTTCTGCTCGGAGCGTTCACCAGCCAATAAGTCTCTACTGGAAGAGCTGTCATCATCTGAACGAAAAAATCGTTTCGCTTCTATCACGATGAGACCGCCAAGACACTCCGGATGAGTTGCTTATGTTTCCCGATGGGGGGAATCTGTAATTACACGGAGCGACATACGGAGCCGGATTTCGTGTTTGATCAATCGCTCTAACGTCGTTCATTGTGTTGTGAGCAACTAGCCAAAACAAGCGGTCTCGGAGTGACTCAAATGAGCTTCACTCACCAATGGGACGATTATCTTGGGTCACACGTCAAAAGTAATGTAAATCGAAGAACCCTTGACCTCGCATCATAATTCTGGACTCCTCACGCCATGCCACTTCATGAAGATTCGATCAGTGTCCGAACAGTCGATCTCTAGTAGCATGTCTCTCTGACTCGTGGTCTTCGAAGTCTCTTCTTCTCTCGTTTAGTCAGGCTCATTCTGTCCTGCCTCGTAGAATTACTTCCCCACCCAGACTCTCTTTTTAGCCCGTCTCGATTCGGCGGTGCTCCCACCGTCGACCTAGAGCTTCGGAAAGCTTCGCACCTGACAAACACAAGTTTCGCTGGCAGCAACTTCAAGCATTGGATGTGACATCGAGTGAGGTGTGATCTGGATTGATTTTGAAGCGGTTCGGAAAAGTTCCATGGGACCCTTGGTTCCACGGATCAAATATTTTTTTTGAGTTCTCCATCCGGTATTCGGCTCCCGTCTGCTGCGGAGAGGGCCAGAGCTCGCCTCTGGATGGTCAAGGTCCAATCTGAGACGGCCGTCCCAAATCCCGTGAGTTCTGGAGTTGGCTCTCGCGATGCAAGAAATGGACCATGCTCGGAGAATCCCAATCGAAGCTTTCCCAGCGGTTCTATATTCATTCGGGTGTAGCCCAAGATACAATCCATGAGTTGGAGCGCGACCGTCGACAGCCGTGCGTTGTTGTGATCATCGTGACAGCTTGCACGGCGGCCCGCGCGCGCGCATCAGAGCTTGACAGCGATGTGCCAGCGCTGACTTCTGCTATGTTTTGAAGTACGGTGCTCCGACGTGTAGACGCTTGGGCGTTTTATTCGAAAGAATCACGCCAAGCCGTTCGTTTAGCATTGAGCGACTGATCGATCCTGATACGTGAAAGTCGTTACAGCTTCTTCCTGTGTGAAAGTCTCGCACCCCTTGTTGAAAGGGCGGTTCCCCGAATACTGTAAGTAAGGGAAAGCGGCACGTCTCTCCTATCGGCCTTTGGCGGGAGTCGAAATTACATCGAGAAACCTTAGATACAGTGCTCCCTCCAGCACTTATGTCGAAGGGTCCATGTCAGAGATCGCAACCCTGATCAAAGGATGCGCGAGCGCCTCCAGAGAATTCATTGTGACAGAGCTCCTGGTCAGATTCGTAGGAGAGCGATTTGACGTCGAGTCACGAATTCACACCGACTCCGTAATCGATGGCTTACAGCCTAGCGATTCTGAATGAGCGAATATCAAAAGTCTCTTATGATGTTCGAGGTGCAGGCAGAGGGATTAGAGGGTCGTCGCGTGACAGACAGGGGGATTAAGGGAGCTGTGGGCGACTCGTCAATGGAAAAAGTGATACCACGATCACACGCGACAACCTGCCAGGAATTTCGCGGCACTTGGAACACTCGTTGCCTCGAGATGAGACTAATTCACTTCGATTCTCCAGGTCAGGGTGAAGTGCATCGATTCTACAGTTTTGATCATCGAGTAAACGGCCTGATTCGCTGATTTCCGCGGGCGAGAATGTCCTCCAGCGATGATGCGATCGGACTGCTGGCGAACCCAAATACGACGAGTGGTGATGCCACTCCAGCGACATCGGAGAGTGAACCGCATACGACTGCGTCTCCACTGAAGTCGACGAGCAATGCCGTGCAGCTTCAGCTGTGCGCCAATTGCAACCCCGAAAGTAGTCTCTCTACGATCATCAGTCCGTCCTACAAGAGCCAGTTGGACAGTCTCCACACGAAAGAGCGAGTTGCTCTCCAAAAACACTCGAATGCTGTTCAGGTAGGTTTCCGATCTCGGTTCGGGATATTGGTTCGTTCATTCGACAACCTTCTGGGGAAACGGGGATCGGCAAATAACATCTCGGAATTCGAGCGTGTACCAGGAAGGAGAGCTATGTCTTAGAATGAATCCGCCAAGGTAATTTCATCGAAGCTTCCTCGACCCTCTGACGATTGGGTTATTCAAACTCGTAGAATACGGGCAGAAGATTACTCCCGGGGCTCACTTCCCGGGGGTAATCTGGACTCCTATCTTGTGCCATCTCATTTCCATGGGGAACGATTCGCGAGGCGTGCACGAAGCTCTTCGAAACATGCTCGAGGCGCGTATCCGAACAGAACCTAGTAATATTCACAGAGCTGTGACGCATAGGGCATCAATTTCCCCGGTCTGACGAAGCTCTCATGAGCGGAATGCTCGGAGACCCTCAAGGACGAGAGAGAGTCGACATGATAACAATCCCATCGCGTAAAAGAAGCCGAAATCGAGAGAATCAACTGTGTACTCTGAACTCCATTCAACGATTTTTGGATGACGAATGCCGGGATCGGACGTTCGGAGGCGAGGGAGCTGCATCCGACCGTCACGCTTGTTTACAGTTGATCAGAGTGTGTTTGGGTCAACACGGTCCTCGGTTTCCGGCTTCCATCATATCCCGCTCCGGATTGAAATCCCCCTATAGAATACTTCATACGCGAAAATCGCCGACTTTCTAGCCGCTATCAACATTACGAGTGAAATCATACGGGATTGATGCTCCCAATGCGATTTCCGAATGGATCCAGAGGAGCATGAATCCCGATGCGAGGCGGGCTGTGCCTCGTCGGTGCTTTCTTGAATTCAGCGGAGCGGCGGCGACTTTTATTCTTCTTGAGGGTCGACACTCGACTGAGAAGATCGGCTTGTCTCCGTACGAGTGACTTACAGCGATATCGGGAGGCTCCTTGATCTATACGTGCCCATTCCCAAAATATCTCCTACATGAGAGCTTTCTCGCCAGCCTGTTCGAGTTCCAGTTCCTCTCCCCACGCAGCCCTCTCCACTACGTGACTCCAAAACGTGCTGGTTGTGGAATCTTACTCCAGATGTTCAGTGTGTGCTATCCAAGACGTTTTGTTGTGCCCAGAGAAGATCACAAGTTCGTTGATCCCTGTTTTCCTCAGCTGATTCAGAATCATTCCGATCAGCCGAGAACGCGTCATGATGTTATCTGAGCTGTTCGGGAATTTCGGCGAGTCAGGTCTGACCCATTCTATCGAAAGGTTTCCATCTGAAGGAGTGAAACCTCGTGAGGTCGTACATTTTTGTCAAATTTGACAGGCCGTGGCCGTTCATTGCGGGGTTCTCTACCATCCCTCAATTTCCCGGCTCAAGATGCAGCTTCGGGGTCTTCGCGATCGAGTTCCTCTGGCGATTCTTCAGAGCCGGTAGGGAGAAAGAGAGACTCAGATCTCGAGTGAGGCTGCAGGCAAGTGGAATCGAACTTGAGCGCTTCCCTACAAAACGGGGAAACACGCCTGTCTCCCCGCAGTCGAATCGCGGAGTGAAGGCGGTATATCTCAAAGCTCAATCAATGTTCCGCAAGCGACGCGCCAGACGAGCTGACCATTGGGCCTTTCCGTCGTATCAGACTTCCGCGATCCGTTACGATGCAGAGCGATTCTCGGAGCGGTTCTGAGAACTGCATAATACAAAAATATTATTTATTTCGGCTCGATGCGTGATTGACCCACCGAATGCTGATATACTCCATTGCGGAGTCATCCTCGCTGAATGGCCTCAACTTGCCCCCAGAGATTCGGAGCCCCTCAATCAATGATTGACGCCCAATGTCTGGGACTCATCCGCTCCAATCCCATATTGTCAGCTACTGTTCCATACTGTCCTCCTTTCTTCGATATTTCGATTGCGAGAGCTTCGTCAGATTATTACTGAAGTTCTAGATGTCTCCGAAGGATGTAGTCGGTAATCATGGCTTTCCCCTTGTGGCTACGTCACATATCATGGATGAAGTCTCTGACTCGTGTATGTCGAATGCATAGAAGGCAGCGGCTTGTCTTGAGCTAAAATTACCGCGTCATCTCCGAGCTCATAGGCCAACAGCCGTTCCGATTCGGGTTGCCTTCGCTGTCTTTGAAGACAGCGGTCTGTAAAAGTTTCTCCGAGTTTATTGTGAGAAGCACTTGACCGGAATAGGTGTGACACGTGCCGGCGGTTGCCCCTTTTCCAATGCTCGTGACTGATTTTTCGAGTTTCGACCGAACCCTTACTGTGTCGAAACCCTCCAGAATGATCGCACTCATGATCGACTTTTGTCTTGTGATGGCAAACACGGTTGTCTCGCAGGATTCGCTTCGAGATCATGCGTCGTGAATCTAATCTGACATCTTTTCGTCGCATACAAATTCGTTCATTCGTCCCCGCTGCCTGATCAGCACTTGAGTATCGACGCACAATTTGCGTGAACTCCGAGAAGTGAGTCTTTGTCGAAGTGGAACTCGGTCTGGAACTTTTTCGATCGGAATTCATCAATATTTGACTCAAACATCTAAGCCGCAGCGAACATCGGAGTCGAACGCGGTTCACCGCGAATCTTCGGGCTAGTCCTGCATCACATTATCTTGATGTATTCGCCGCGAGTCTCGATCGGATCTCCACGACGTTGACCCTGTTCGAGAGTTTAATCTGCTTCTTCAACAGATGGGTTGAGATTCCGCGATGGAATCTTATCGTCGGAGACAGTATTGGATTTCACGCATATTCCCCGCTTTTCCGCATTGTTCGACTAATGACCGAAAAAACGAACGGTACATTCTCAATCAAAACAGTAGCTTATCCAGATGCGCTGGAGGGCATGACGAACACTGTTCAAAACGATAATGCGGCTCATGAGACGCCCGTCGGTTTACGACGACAAACGCTGTGACGACGGAGACAGCGCGTATGGCTATCGGCAACGAGAGACTCTTGATTCCGCTTGAGCCTGTGTTTGTCCAACCCTACCTCGAGATAAACTTTCAATGTCTCCCTCGAGTGGCTCAAGAGCATCTTACGAACGCATGATAGGTCTCGCTGCCCTCGGATCGCCTTCAGGATTCCTCCTCAGGCGAATTTGACGTCGAGAAAAATTCTGTTGTGTGCCACAGGATGGCCACTCTGAACTCGCTTCCCGATAAGCCACCCAGACTTACCATCCGGAATAGCCAGACGCCATTACGTCTAGGACTCTCGCATCGTAGGCGGAAGATCATTCCCAGAGGGCTCCAGAATTCCCACGCACGCGCTCTGATAACTCATTGACTGCCGACACGGCTTTCCCTCATCACTCGCTCCAGCGTGTAACGCTGTGGGGTAGATTCACGAAAATACGAACGTAAACTTACAGAGGAGTGAATCCGGTCACGCGGCGGAGGTTTTCAAAAAATTGTTCCAACATGCCGATGGCGAGTCCAGCGGTCTCGTCCCTGGATTTTGAGGTTCAGCCTTTGGAGGTACGACACAATTCCACGATCTGCTGTACAGTGAAGCAACGAATGATTCCGATTTCAGGAATGGGGCAAAAGAGCGTCCCACCAGACTTGCTTTAATCTAATGGCGGCAAATATTGTATGTAAGCGGGAGAATAGAGTTTCGAACAATTCCAGAGGTCCTCCCCGTACGGCTCACTAATCGAAAAGAGTGATTAGAGAAATCTCTCTTTCTGAACAGGAATATCTGGACGATTCGGACGAGCCGGACCGTGGCGTAGACGTGACTAACTTCCGGGGAAATTTCACGGGGCCGCGGAATTTCACCCCTGTCCAATCTCCCACTCGACCGGAGAAAGCACCTTTACCGCCGTCATGCATATCGCTGGACTTTCAGAGGGTATCCATAACCGGTGAGTTGCGACCCAGAAGGACTCGGATTCTTCACTAAAAATCCCCGTCTGGTGGAAATCGACAAAGCCTCAACTTCCTCAACGAGATTTAATTCGTCTGCAGGAGAGGACACATCCGGAGTGCCTTACGACGATCTTCTGACAGCTTCAACGATGCTGATCAGCGCTTTGAAACTTCGGCAAAAGTATTGCAAAGCTTCGCTGCAGCCGTTCCCCGAGGTGAGCTGAGCCGAAAAATGAAGGGAGACCTATGTGGTATGCAGAATCAACTTTGTGTCGGAAACTTTTTCTTGTCAGCTGTCCCTACCGAGAGAGGCTCTGCTCCCTGACATAGATGAACAAGTGGTCTCGGACTGTATTCCAGGTCACGGCACACTTCGTGGCTGGGGGCGTCACCGAGCCGCGCCACAACACCCCGCCTTACAAGGCCGAACCAGAATACATCCACACGGAACCGCAGAAAGTTGACAATCCATGGAATTCTCCCGTTGAGTCTCGGGACTCTAAGAGCAAGTTCCGTATGCAGGACGGTGTGGTCGAAGTGCTCTCAGAGTCGGGCGTCAAGGAGCCTTGCAACGTGGTGGTCCCCCTGCAAGAATTCATAACCGACATGAATCTGATGTGCGCCATGATTTCGGACGGGCCTCTGAAATCGTTCTGCTTCCGTCGGCTGACGTATCTGACCAACAAGTACTCGATGCACGTATCCCTCAACGAGATGAAGGAACTCGCAGCGCAAAAAAGCGTTCCGCATCGAGATTTCTACAACATACACAAAGTGGATACTCACGTCCATGCGGCTTCGTGCATGAACCAGAAGCATCTACTGCGTTTCATCAAGAAGCGAATTAGAGTTGCTGCCGACGATATTGTTTGCAAAGTAAGAGTTCCTGATTCTTATGGAGTGGCCGATGAATACAAAGCACGAGGCTCTCCTGCCGTCTGTGAATAGTCGAGACGGTCTTCTCCTCTGAGAACAATGGGCAGAGCGAGCGGGCATTGAGCTGGCGGGAAATTCATTCATGAATGCGCGAACCACCGCTGCATCATTCAGGAGGGGAAGAAGACTAATTTTCACCGTTCGGCATTTCAGGATCGCCAGCAGGGCGAATTGACCTTGAGACAGGTTTTTGAAAAGATGAACCTGACCGCATATGATTTGAGCGTGGACACCTTAGACATGCACGCGGACCGGAACACTTTCCACCGTTTCGATAAGTTCAACGACAAGTATAATCCGGTCGGCGAGTCTCGACTCCGAGAAATATTTTTGAAGACCGACAATTTCACGGGAGGGAGATACTTTGCCGATATCATCAAAGAGGTACTCGATACTCCCGACGAACTCGTGGTTATTCTGAATCATCGAAGAGTCGGAGCTCCAGGCCCCCTGCATCAACGGGGAGCTTTGTTTACTCAGACACTGATTAATTTGAAGGTCATGTCAGATCTCGAGGATAGCAAGTATCAGAACGCAGAACTCCGTCTTTCGATTTACGGCAAATCCCGTTCGGAGTGGGATACGCTTGCCAAATGGGCTCTGAACAATAATGTTTACTCTGACCACGTTCGCTGGATCATCCAGGTTCGTTTTAGCCTCCATTGCCCCCGAAATCCAGAAGAAAAAATCTCCGGCTCAAGCCGGGGACTCAACCCCATCGAACTCATCAATGGCTCAACCTTCCGTTCCCTCCACAGGTCCCGCGACTGTATGATATCTTCAAGGCGAACAAACTAGTTGATAACTTCGAGCAGATCCTAGCAAATATCTTTATGCCCTTGTTCGAGGTGACGGCGAATCCGGAGAGCCATCCAGAACTCCACAGGTTTTTGCAATACGTGATCGGCTTCGATTCGGTGGATGACGAATCGAAACCCGAGTATCCGATGATCGATAAAGACGTGAGTCGTTTGCTTCGAGAAAGATATCCAATTCTACCGATTGACATCCGAATACTTACCTATTACATACTCTCACATTCGACGCATTCCCAATAGGTGCCCCTGCCCCCAAAATGGTGCCACGAAGAGAATCCCGCGTATATCTACTACCTGTACTATATGCACGCCAATCTGTGCGTATTGAATCGCTTCCGTCAGCAGCAGAATCTGTCCCTGATGGTTCTGCGCCCCCATTGTGGTGAGGCCGGACCAATTCAACATCTCGTGGGCGGTTTTCTGCTGTCCGAAAGCATCAATCACGGCCTTCTCCTGAGAAAGGTGACGCTCCACGCCCTCCACTCTAATTTTTTGGAACTGCACAAATATGTACACACAGGGTGGTCCCAAAACCGGTTTTTAGATTTTTCTTTTAAACGGTGAGGTTCAGAGGAAAAAGTGCGATGGGTGAGCCCCTGGCTTTTCGATTTCCCATCGGAAAAACATTTTGCCCACCGAATCAGGGATGATGCCTACGAGAAAAAGTCTCAAACTCGATTTTCCCCCTATGAAGGAAGAAGAGGCGTCTTTTTCTTACCTGATTCTCTCCCTCGAAAACGGCTGGAAAACGTGAAGGTGGACCTATCCTTATTTTCGATTTGACACCCGAAAATGATGTCCCCACCTCTTTTCTTCGGAGCTCAGCGTTTCCGAGAATACCGATACGAGTAGTGGAGGCTCGAGTGAGGGACCACCCGGTATCTTGTATTTATGCATATATTGTATATTGTATGTATTTTATTTAATGTATGTTTACCGCCTCTGAGCTTGGGTCCGATCACGAGGAGCTCGCCTGATCGTTCAACGGTAAACTTAAAAGCCTTCATTCTTCCCCAGGTTCCGGTGCTTCAGTATCTGTACTATCTGAGTCAGATCGGGATCGCGATGTCTCCTTTGTCGAATAACTCTCTTTTCCTCAATTACCACCGGAACCCCTTAATCGAGTATCTGAATCGAGGCCTCTGTGTCTCTCTGTCGACCGATGACCCCCTCCAGTTCCACTTCACACGCGAGCCTCTCATGGAAGAGTACAGTATTGCTGCGCAGGTCTGGAAGTTGAGCAACGCGGATATGTGCGAGCTGGCCCGGAATAGCGTGCTCATGAGTGGTTTCCCGGTCGCCTTCAAAAGGCACTGGCTGGGAGCCGGCTTTGAGCGCGAGGGGGTCGAGGGTAACGATGTCAGGAAGTCAAACGTGCCCGACATTCGCGTTGCCTACAGGTAAGAGCATGTTCCTCTCCACGCTGTCGATTATTTCGCTGATTTTCACAATCGGTATACTCCATCACATTCCCCATGGAGGTGCCTAATAAACCTAATCAATCTCCCAGGTTCGAAACCCTGATTGGAGAGTTGGACATGATCTCGGCCGTGATGAGGAGATTGAAATGAACGATCCTGGAAGCTACTCGAAAAAGATTATGTCATGGCTCATCTCGAGTATAGTAGGAGGCTGACATTGTTGGGATTCTTGACCTTGGGTGTGCTTTGTGACAGTGGGCAAACCGATGCTAGATGGGTCTACGGTACTCGCAGCCCTCTCTACACTAATCGACTGCACCGTCATCGGAGGACTAAAAATAAACGCTCTGGAATCGAACCCAGATAGATGATTGTATTTCTTGCTTGTGCCGAAAAGATATCCTCAGAGGACAACTGAAAGGATGCACTGCGACAAAATCCAAGATATTCTCGATGAAGGAGCTCAATTTCGCCTCCTCAAGACTGCCGCGGCAAGAATGCACGAAAAAGTGTCCCTGGTGTATCAGAGCAACAACGAGAGTCCGGGATACGACTCGTCTACCACGCAGAGGTTATTCGGGTGGGCCTCATTGCACCGGTTCCCTCCGTCTCGAGTTACCCCGAAAGAACGCGAGAACTAAAATCGCTCCCAATTGACTAGCGGGGTGAGAATTCGGAATGCAATTCAGAGACCGCCCGGTGTCGGCTTTGGCAAGCCGTCAGAATGTCTGATCCATGAGACCTAATGGCAGCGATACATTGGCTCAGCAATGCAGTCAGTCAATTAGTCAGTTAGTAACCTATTTAATTATCCACCCATGGGGAGAGCGACGTTTCAGCAGGTTTAGCCCTACCACGCACAGCGACCGTCACCCTTCAGCCTAGAGGACGGCGCGATACCGAAGTGAACATTCATCCGTTGACAGGCTTGTCCGCAGTGAGTATAATCACCAGAATATCGAACGCGACAATGAATTGTAAATCTCATCAGGTTTCGTGAGATGCTGTGATCGGTTCGGCGGCAGTAAGTAAGTCAACTGGTTGCATATGAAGTCAGTCTATCGAAGATACCCGTCCATCCGAGCAGCCGCCAACCTGATCGACTCCAACATTCTCCTCCGGGAGAGGAAACCTTGAGCGACTCTTCCTCCGGTCCAGCTACCGAGTACAGTTCGCCTGGAGCCGAGCAGCCTTGCGAAGATTGAGCGAACGTATCCCGCGAGCTCGTATAGTCACTTGGGAAGACATTCCGATGCGTGAGTCACTCAGATTTTCGAGACTTTGCCCGCTGAAACCTTCTTAGGAAGAAATCTGAGACTCCTCTGGACTGTGCTTGGTGCTTGACTCGAGGCGAGGAGAGCAGCTACCGGGGAACGATAATCCTCAAGAGAGGCGGAATCGAGATCCTCCGCTGAGTAGCTATTTCAACTTCGAGGCCGAATCAATATTGATGCTTGACAGCGGGACATAGCGATGATGAACTAGCTCCCCGTTTTGGATCGATCGACGACTGCTTTTCATTGACCTTTCGATACTTGTCGGACGTCCTCGACGCTCCATCTTAATCGGAGCGTTCGGGTCAATTCTGATCTACCATGCCTTGCAACGTCGCCAATAACCCTTGAACAAACATTCCGAGAGTAATTATATCGGAAATTCATTTCTGGAAATCAATCCCCCAGTCGGCTCTTCTAGTTTCCTTTCGCTCCCAGTCACCAGTGACTTATGCAGCTGCAATTCTGGAGCCGCCAGGACGACATCTCAGCTCGTTTCCGCTCGCGCGAGTATTTCCATATTCAATTTGTGTCGACCTCGGAGAATTCACTTTCAATCCTCCAACTTTCGACCAGTGTTCGGAGACTTGGCAGCGACCGGCTCTCAGTCAGCCGGGGATTGAAAAGATACATGGCGACGGCGGCGGTCGATTCGCCGCGGAAATTAGTCGAGTCGCGGGGAACGGCTCCCTTGACTGAGCGAATGGTGGCTGGGAGGAATACAATCGAGCAGAGAACAGCAAATTGCAGACGAGTTTCGATGCTGCCAATTATGGACAAAGTATATCCCACAGAAATCAGAGCTATTGGCGCAGAGTCGCGATTCGCGGAAGGGGACGCGGATGCCCTTCCTGATGGAGCGTGTCGGCGCCAGCACCGACGAGTTCCCAGCGCGGGCTCACGCCTGGTCCGAGGGGACAGCGTGTCGGGCGCCGTTTATTACACTCGGCGAACCGGCGTCAATATGGAGAGCAGCGGTTATGGGAGGGGCTGTGATTTTGTTTCATAGTTGTGTCAAAAAATCAGGTCGACCAGATGCCACGAAAGCTTCATGTGGGCTGATTGGGAGACTTCTCAGGAGCTGGAACTCTCCGAGCACGGATGATGCGGACTCGGCATCGATATGGTTTCCGCTCCGGAAGAAACGAAAAATCAGCCTTTCGACCGGACCAGGCTCTCACTTGTCTCCACGGCGAGCGAGTGGAGACCAAAGTGGATAGGTAATCGTGACCACGCCCAACGTGGAGCCAGCAATCTAGTTCTTGATCCAGCCCTGAGGCATGTCCCGCAGTCTATAAGTCACATGGAGATGCTCACTCGCATTCTCCGTAAAACAGGAGATTTATCCCTGACGAGAGCTAAATGGAAAATCATTCATCTCGCAGTAGTTCGCCGTAAACCTTTCGGAAGAAAATCACTGTCAGCACATGTAACTTTCAAAACCCGCGCAGCAAGAGACGTACGGAGTAGCGAGATCTCCACAGAAAATCTCATTCGTAGAAGACTACGTTTCAGTTGATCGGAGAAATGTCGAGAGTCGTGCGATCTTCACGACGAGATGCGGCACCCTTTCTGACAGAAAACGGCGCTGCGCTTTTCTCTTTCTCTTCTGGACCTTCATGAAGGTGCTCAGGAACAGGCGAAAGCAAGATTTTCACCCTCTTCTCCAGTTATTTTTCTGGTTTTAAGATCATCCTCCTGTCAGTTTGCCGTAGCGTAGTTCTCCGCGACGTCGTCATCGTCGTCTCTGGGAGAGAATATACGGCGCGCGCGGTCCGCAATTGTTGCAAATCGTTGGTGCTCGTCATTTCTACGAACGTTCAACAAAAGGAACAAACACTCACGGAATGAGCTTTGCGGAATAGGATTTTCTGTGCTCGCGCCTCCGCTGCCGCAGTTATCGCAACACGTTCTGTCCGTCACCGTACAGCGCATTTGAGGAGTGGTGTTTCGGAGTCTCGTGTCCGGTGCTTCTACGAATCGGTGGAGGAGATCTCGGATTCTCGGGGGTATTCTAATCCCGGTCAGGATGGAAGTTGATTACGAACCCAAACCCAGTGGTGGTGGGGGCGTCATACTCATGCTGGCCACAGTGATCATCGGGACGCTGTTCTACTACCTCTTCCGTGGACGGTATGATTTTTCGGCAAAATGATTCCCTTAGAGTCACCTTAGAATATGCCCAGAAGACTTCAATGATTCGGCACACAGGAAGTCAGAACGTCATATCGTTGATACGCTCCGAGGAGTGTACCGACTCGGTCTCATTAGCTCCTGTGTTAGTCGAACTGAGAATCAAAACAAACGAATTAAAACTCAAAATGATGGTGGAATCGGTCAGACGGAGCCAAACTTTCGCTCCCGGAAATCTCTCCGTCGGCGCGGTATGGCTGCGCGGTCTGATCTCGAAATGGAACCTTCCGGCACCGCTTGAGTGTCGGTGCCGACGGCTATCCTCCCTATTGGAGCATCGATTGAATAGCACGGTAGTTGGTCGCCTCTGACCCACGTTGTGATCACAGCAAACTGTAATCTCAACAGGCGAGCGAGCCAGTAAAATATCTGGTCAGCGCTTGCGGGTGCTGCGTAATAGCCTAAGACGTGGCCGAATTCTCACAGTTTTCTCCCCGTAAAACCCGATTCGGTGATTCGGGAATCGCTCGGCTCTAGCTACCTACCTACCCACCCGCCTCTATTTTCAATGGCGACCGCGAACTTCGTTGAGAACCATTGAGGACATTGAGCGTGATTCATTTATCTAGCCGCCCCTTCCCGACTAGAATAAATAATTCTTCCCCAACGTGGGGCCTGACGGTCTACGCCGCAAGTTCTTTTCTGCAAGCGGGGAGCCGTCCGTGTTTGCGTTTGATAGGGCACGATTTTAATCCGATATTTCATCTGGCAAACGTCATGAAGCTCGCATCGTCCAGCGGTGTGTCTGCGTGAGAGTCGCTGAATGAATGAGTGAATCAGAGACGCGTGATCGAATACCTAGCGGAGTGTTCGCGAATCATTATAGACGCCAGCCACGATTTCAAGCTCACGAGCATGTAATAGATTTAGACAGGGATTCAAACACATCGAGGACCTTTTGGCCTTTCCGGCGCGCCAGACGCAGGAGTAAACGGTTGTGCGAAATTATCGCACTGCGACTCCCCGCTTCGCATCCGTCTCCCCGATGTGATGATTGAACGAGAAATCTGCGCTCGCCATCCTCCACTTTCGGGAATTATTCCATCACGGATGATGTAAAGTGAATCGACTCGACTCGAACCCTCGTCGTTGTATGCGATGAGAGTCCATGCCGGACTCGGGGAGGCGCAGCTCCGAAGACCGAATCCGTTGTAGGCTGGAATTTCCTCTGGCGTCGGGAGTGAAATCGACTGTTCGACACGAATCTCCTCACCCAGCCACGACTTCACTGCACTTATCGGATGCCTTGATCTCACCTGCTGTCATTCGCTTCTAAAGAAAATCTCTCATTCTGTACCAGTAAATTTCGGCTTGTACTTCTACCGATTCTAATTTCACGCACCGCGGAACTCCTCCGTCACGTTGTGAGGCGCTTTCCAGCGGAAATCGGCAGTCGGAGCGATCCGCTAAGCTGGTATTGGGCAGTACCGATCTACCCGACCGGATCCGTACTAGATGGAATCACGGCTTTGTCGAGCTCATTTCTCTACTCCTGTGGCGGGAAATCGCGACTTCTCGGAGTCTGAGAGTAACAACCTGAATCTTCCTCAGGGACAAGGAAGACGACGTCGAAGAAGAAGAAAAACACCTGAGACCACCGCCGAATACACCTCAGCGTCGCTCGACAGCGACGGCTAATGAGTCTTCGAGCGTGCCCGTGAAAGCGTTTCCCAATCAAGCGGCGAAGCCTCAGAAATCTCCCATGGGTGATCTGGACAGGAGATCCTCGTCGACAGCCTCAAGTTCATCATCGATTCCGAGCTCGTCATCAATAAGTACAGACTCGCTTCCGAAGAATGCGGAATCATCTGCTGATCCGAAGCTTTCACCGTCCACATCCTCAACAGCCACAACCGCTGCGGCCGACGCTCCGAGCTCAGGCTCTTCAAAACGTCCAGAAAACCTCGAGCCAGTCGTACCCGTGAGGCGAGCGCTCGTAGACGAAGGCACGAGTCTCGACGATGAACCGTCAAACGCTGCTGATGAACGGTCGACGGTGCAGAGGAAAATTCCCGTCCTAGAGAATAAAGGACCGAAAACGAAAGTTCTGCTGCCGATAAAGATCGCTTGGGAGAAAATGACCGAGTTATTGGTGAGTGCTTACTAAATCTCGATATTATGCGATCGGAGCAAATTTCTTCGGAGTCATGCCTTCGCCCGTGGTGTCATCGGGAGCTTTGAACTTTAGCATAAAAAAAAGAATATCGATCCCCTATCGAATCCGGTAGGGATGCGTTATGTGTCCGAATGGCGGAGCTCCGCAAATTTCTGAGAGAGCGTACTCGTCAGATTTCATGTCTGTCTATATATTTATCTATCTATGGAAGATTTTCACCGCATGTGTCTTATGGGAAATGATCAGGAATGGTAAGTTTTGCTCACATTAGACACGCATCGTTCATCCGCTCTGCTCGTCTTGCCGGGCGTAGGCGTCGAATTCATGGACGAATAGCAAGACGGGCGTATGAAACGCTACTAGCATCCGTCTCAATTACGGGTTTTCGTCAAGCGAGTCGAATCAATAATACCGCACTCGACGGTACCAGATCGGCGAAGATCGTTTCGCAGACACTTTTCACTGCCACATGTCCCTTCGCTGCGCAGTCGCGAATCCAGTCCCTCAAGCAGAAAGAAGCGCTTGGAGGAGTGCCTCTCGAGTCCTCTCAAAGAACCTGTATGCACATCGCTTTCCATTGCTAAAATGCTGATGTGGGAGCTCAGGCCTGGCTTTGAGATATTCTCTTCAAAAAGGAGGAGATCGAATTAGATCGGAAGCTCATCAGGAATCTGTCACAGGGACCCACGATACGGTATCCGGAGGCTCCGTAATCCTGAGGTACGAGCAGGTTCCGAACGATACGAACGAAAGACTTCCCTAAATGGTGCGGCTCTGACGTCGAGTGGATGCGCGATCGTGGTAGTCTGATTGCAGTCCCAGCTCGCACTGGTTAGACGTCGGCCGCGCGCCACACAGGCTTCGCTCGCGAAGGTCCTGTCTGACGTCATTTTCGTCGCTGTCGTGCCTTCCTCCGCTCGGACTAGACGTCGTTTCAGTCGTCGTCATCCAATGTTGTGCTCGTTTGCACAGGTTTGTTTCGGCGTCTGTTTGTGAGTTGTTATTCGCATCTTGAAGCAAGCTCATCCACGCCACGCTGTCATGCGAACGACGACGACGACAACGACTTCACTGCTTATCCACTGGAACGCGGGTTGTAAAGCGAATTGGCCGCGATCCGGTGGCTCTGAGCGGCTTCCAGAAAAATCCATTCTGTTTTGAACTGGAGCTGAAGCTGCGCCTCACTATGTGGGACCGACAGACCGATTGACCGACCGACTGTCAGTCAGACAAACTACGGAAGGCCTGACTGAATGACTCCCACACGCTCGGCACCAGCATTGGCGGACAGCGAATGGAATCAGTGGAACACTAACGACGCGTCTGTGTGGAGTAGTAAACTTCAGTGAGTGCGAAAACAGTGAAAACCTCTCGGTGGGCGTTGAGTGCGCGAAGTTGAGCAGTCAAGTCTGCCCCCATTGGCATGTCCAACTCTCCCTGGTTCACTTCACCGCTGTGAATATCGTCGTTTCCACCAGAACCCAGAAAAATTCAACTCCGACACCGGATTCGAAACTCGCGAAAAGTGCCGAAGATATCGTCGATCGCCGAAATTGCCGGCGGAGACATCTGCTGCTTCGAACTCGAAAAGAGAGACCCTTCAACGGAGCCTTTCCTCAGGTGATCTCCGCCGAAGAGCGGGAAATGCGCGAAAGCCCGCCGAGGAGCTTCAGATAATCTGTCGCCGAGACCTTGCTTTGCGGAACCTATCCGTCTACCCGCGTAGCACGAGCTCGTTGACTGCAAACAAGGAGCTTGCTCTTTCGCATGTGTCGTCCCTCCGGCGGTCTTGGGGCAAGTGAGAGTGCTTCACCTGTTTTCTCTGGGTCAACTCGCCTCACATTTCGAAGCCCGTCGGTTCCGAGCGGAAATTTACCGACCACGAGTTCCACTGGGAGCCTCTGTGGAATTATTCGACGATATGGCTCGAAATTCTCGGATGCAGATCTCGAACACGCGATCGCAGAGGATGGCCGCAAGTCCCACTGCCGCTGTCTATGACTTTGATTCCGATACCGATTTCCCGCGTGACAAACGTTTCCTTTCGCGATAATTCGGTTTCCGAACAAGGACCGAAATAACATGGAGGAGTGTAGTTCAGCACTGGTATGAGTCCGCTTGTCGATATTCTCAGCGCCCGGGATGGGACAGCCGTCGATATTACAGCGAAGGATTTTTAAAATCAGATGATTCCGCATTGCAGGCCAATTTCCACATCAAGGAAGTCGATTCTGGACGACCCTGCTTGGACTGCGGGGTCAAATGTATCGGATTCAAATCGCATCAATGGAGGTGAGTTTCGATCATTGTAGCTGAGTGTAGATCGACTGAGGATCACCCGAGAACGGAGGCATACTCGAGTGCGTCCTAATCCCTCGCCACGAAAGCGGCGAAGTCCCCGAAAGGGGTGCGATTGCTCGGCTTCGGAGTTTTCATTTTTCAAACCAGCCGAGGAGGTAGCCGTCAAACATCTGAGCAAGCTCCGAGACTGCGCGAATCACACAGATCATCTAGGTGTTGATGACGTGGTCTTGTCCGGAAAGTCGGATTTTGTTCGTTGCATCGAAAAAGGAGATCTTCGTCGGTTGTCGGGGTGCATCCATAAAGTTAACGAGAGATGATAACAGGGGCCCTCGAACCATCGAATTATGTTGAGCATCAGGGGGACCTCGAGCAGGAAACGACAGCTCGGATTGGATAGATCCACGCGTCGCGCGTGCCGCCACTAACTGCTCGAGAGCAAGATAATCACCGCGATTGAGCTCGACAGATTCAATTGAACTCGGATCGCTGATGGATTTCCCGATGTAGATACATCGGGGACATATTACGCGGGAGGCCTCGGAGAAGAAATGTTTCCCTTCTTATGGGAGCGGCGGCGCAATCTTTGGGAACTTCCGACACGAGTGAAGAGTGTAGGCTTCGAAATCATAGAGGTGATCGCTTATCTGCTAAATTCGAGTCTCTCAGCAGTAGCGAAAGCTTCGCGAATTCGCGATTCCATTCGCGAGAGTTATTGGTGGCGGAGAAGCGCATCCGGAGCCCTGGGAGAGACTCTCGCCTGAGCGCAGTCACTTAAGGAAAGCATGCGCGCTCGATCAAGGCGTTTTCGACGGCGAGGTTTTCCAACACCTCGGGGAATGGATCAGCCACCGGTCGCGGTCTCCGACCTGCCTTCCCTCCCTTTCTGCGTGCGTGTTTTGTGTTGCCGGGTCGAGTGCTCACTCGCTCTCGGCCCCCTTCTTTTGTCTCGCACCTTTTTTGATCTTCTCGATGCTTGTTGTCAAAAATACGATGCTCAAGGGAGTCCGACTCTGAGGCGGAATCTTGCCGGCAACACACTCTCCACTCGTTGCACCAACTCTCAAAGCGGACCGCATGATTGGTGAAACGCCGCTCTCGATGTCACTTGTAGAACGACGTCGCTCCCGGAGCGAGCCATCTCCTGACATAGTTTGTGATTCATGCCATTGTCAGACGCTCTCGAAAAAAACGGTGATACTTTTCCGTTATCGGGAATCTCGCAAGTATCTGAAGATCCGGGACTTGAGTGTATGAAATGAGCAGGTGCAATCTGTGATGATCCTCCCACTCTACCCCGTGATCCCCCATGGTGTCGGAATCGCTCGGGACGGTGATTTTCGTAAAATGCAGGAGTCTGACCAGACCGGCGGCCTTTTCACCGGGGCCATCACGGATCGGGGTCTCCGAGGCGCGAAATCCGAAACGCCTCTGGATGGAAGAAGCAAAACGACCGTCCATCCCTGAATCATGAGCAGCGAGCTCATCGCCGTGCCTGTCGAGAGGAAGCGCGTGTCGTTCAGTGAATGTTTGAATTCGGAAAGGACTTATGAAATTGATTCAGCGAACGATCAGGAGGAAACGTCATCGCCGAGCATCCCGTGAGTTTCGTGGCAGGCGTATCGATTCGCTTTCCAGGCTCCCGGCTCCTACATAGTGTCCCAGTGTCCGCTCGAAGTGTTTGGCTTCGGATCCTCTTTCGAACGCAGATACGATTATGGATTATACCGACCAAAGTATAGCTGTCCATGTCTGTGGAGCGCAGCGAGATGAGACTCGTTTTCCTCGATCAGTACCAGTCACACAGCACACAACCGGCTCAGTGGGTGGGAGGGTGTTCGGAAAGGTTTTCGATAGAGCTGCGACTGCCACAACTGCGAGCCTCTGTTCTGCATGAAAGAGTCGTTTCCCCACTTTCCTTGGTCCGTAGCATCAGCTAAGTTGGTAAGGAAAACATCTCAGCTTTTTATTATGATCGTATTTACCCTCTTCCAAGAGCACCGAGAGCATATGTAGACCTACATCCTTGGGCCATTATTGAGCGATTTTTTCCCGTTGACGAGCTGGACGAGCACACCGCGATGAGCTGAGCCCAAGTAGTTGATTGACACATTGCCGCTTCCTGAAGCTGTGTTATGATTGCGATCGATATCTTTCATTCTGTCCGATGTCGCGATGAGCTTCAATCTGGCAATTCTTCAAATCGCGGAACATCCAGCGGAGGTATTCTGCGTTGTACGCATATCTCAGAGCTCGGTGACATCGTTCGTAAACATTGAATCTCCCTGACGGAACGACCGCCTGTCGAGAGAGCGAGACTAGAGAAAGACATCCTACTTACTCGGTCATCTTTCACTCGCTCGCAGACTGTTAGGCTTGAAGCTCCGTGCGAGGCCTAACAACACCTTCAAATTAACTCTCGAAGCGACATTCGTTAATTTGATCGGTTACCTTAACGATCCGCGACTGACCAATTTCTGAATATACTCGAGGATACAAACCCACACTCAAAGTCTGTACTCAAAGTCTACATTGAGTCCCTTACACGAATCGCTCCAACATTATTCTCCCTCCGCATCCTTGTTGCGGAAGCAAAGCTCTGAGCATCAACAGACTGGCAAGCAGCATAAATATAAGCCCTAAACTCAGGCAGTTATTATCCGGGCTCGCCTTAAAACAATTCCAGACGACCACCACTCAAATATCGGCACTGCCCCGCGAAAAAAAAGACGAGAGATCGGGTGCTGATTCTAAGAATCGGCTCTGTGATCTACATCGCTTCTTCTCGGAACGTGATATCCATGACATCGTCCTTCAAAGCTAGGATTCGACGACAACCACGTAGTTTGCTCATGTTAGAGGGGACAGCGCTCGCCGATATGACATCGATTACGTAGAACAACAACTTGAACAAATTAGTCCCGTGTAATGAAGTTCACCGAGAGCTTCTCTCGAGCGAGCGGTTCCTCGTTCTCAGCGGCTTTCTCTCCACTTTTTCCAGACTCTGGGTCCTCTCTCCCGAGGCCAAGAGTCGCACGAGATTTTGAGACCGGGACTTCTCCCTTGGTGTGGTAAATAAACTTCGTGTTGGCAGTGAAATCCGTTCTAAGCTCACGCTCCTGGTAGCGAAGTTGACGGCTCAGAGTACACGCATCGACTCCGAGTGTTGAAGACGCAAGTTTTTCTGAGACGGAGGCGCAAAACGAACTCTATCGGAGGGAAGAAACGAAGAAAATCATCGATTACATTCTGCGATCGACTCCGACAGCGACGTCTTTGTTGTGGGGAGGCGACTGGAAAGCTCCAATGGGGACGGCAGCGCTGGGAATCCCTCAATTCATGATCGAATGGTCGATACAGTGACAGAATTGGGACCAGATCAAGTGGTGCTCTTCCTCTGGTTATCATCAGCCGCATTTCGCAAGAGTTGGCAGCTCGCACGCGGAATCGCTTTCCTACGATTGCGGATAAAAAGTAGAGACCGAGCTTCTGGACCTCGTCGTCGTGAGTGGAGCCGACAGAGTGAAAACTTCGATTCCGCAAAGTATGGGCGGCCGCACGAGCCAGCCTGGCGAGAAGCCTCGGCGGCTTTTGACAGGTTGACAACGACAATGTTAGTGTGAATATCCTTCGAACCCTATGATGCCAGCGTCTCGACATAATTCCTTGATCATGTCAATGTCTTATTCGCTGGCCGGATGTGCGAGACCGCGCAAAAAGAAGAATACGAAATCGGATCAGCTCGCGGACCCTGAAACCTGCGTTCAGCATGGACAGTAAGGCCCTTTAGATAAGACAGTGCCCACTGGTTATGGCTTGTGGGATTATCATCGGATTGCCCGTCCCGGAGCTCGGGGAAAGCGAAGGGAGAAATTGATTCACAGAATCTCGTTGATTTCCGAGTTCGGGAGTGAAATGAGTCGATTTATCCAGAAGCGTCGACTTGAACTTGCAAGCTCGCAAATGGATTGGAAGCAAAAGATTCCCGCGGGAGTCACGATTACTTCACGCGGGACAAAACTACGAAAGCGGTCGGAGTTCAGAGGCTGAGTTTGAAACTCGCGCTCGGTTCGGTGCTTGACAGTGAAGATATGGCGAAACACTCCCTCGAAATGAGTGAGTCTGAGGTCTTTGACATACAAGGTTTTCCGATGAACCTTGAGTAGGTATACGACACGGACGAGGTGAACGATACCAGACTTACTGCGCGAGCGTTCCGCCAAACCAGCTCGAAATCGTCCCAGCTCGCCATTGCTGCAACTTAGTCGCTCATCACGCTTGCCGGATCAAGGGGGAGACATTGATCCTCCGCCGAAGAAATGACAATCTCGGCTTGTTCAAAACGATCTCTACCGTCCTCGATGCCGATCATGCCTCGTGCTCGGTCCGTCCTGTATTTCTGGTGATCACTCTCAATGAGACGATAACTCGGGGCAACAGCTGTCCGGAGGAGGAAAATGGCGAGACTGCGGAGCTTGACGGTCCTATCGCACGACCAGAGATGCCGAGTCGTAAATAGATGACCCAACTAACGAACCGACACGACGCGAATTGACGAGTCGAACCAATAGGTATCCTCGTCCGTCACTTTTACAACGTTTTGACTTCTGAGCCTGGAAAATTTCCATTCCTGAGTGTACTCGAATGGAACCCTGACGATGAGGCTCGCTATGTCGAGCTCGGCCTGCTACGTGGAGAATTTTCCTCAAGAAACGTGAGTCGACCCATGTCCCTGTAAGTGTCTGTCCGACCGACAGGCCGGCCGGCCGACCGCTCGAGCGGCTTCAGGTTGATTGAGTAAGTGACTCACTGACAAGACGGGACATATTGGGGAGAGTTGATAGCAGAGCGATGTTCCAGGTGACGAGCTTCGCTTACGCAAAGTTTATACCTCCATAGGTCGCCCGGCTGCTCGCGAGCTCCGGGCCACGCCGAATGGCTATCTATCGATCGCCGGTTGCTTCCTGCCGCATACCACGCGGGTCAGCCCCCTCGTTCAATGACTGACGAATACCTCGTCAGACACGATGTTTGTGCGGAAATTATTTCGATCGGAGATGGTCCCATCTGGCGATGGGGAATATTCAATCGGAGTGTACTCCTGTGGCCCTAAGTCGATTCGGATTCGCCCACGGCCTCTCCGCAGTGGCTTCTCGCGGAAAATTATTCTCTCCCTCGAATATCGTCACTTAAAATTTACGGTCGTTGCCACGATCCTTAAAAACTATTGTCGTCGATTTACGACAGGTCAAACTCTGCACCCGACTCGGAGGCAAGCGTACGTCTCGGGGAAGCCTGGCCTGGCTTCTCAATGACTTCGCGTCATCGGCTTCAATTGATGTTCCCTGACCGTGCGACCGTCGAAGCCGCTAGAAGCGAGGGAGAATTTCACGTAATTTAGAATGGTCGTTTTAGTCTCTCGATTCAAGTATCGTAGCGTCTCTCCTCGTCAAAATGATGTCGGGCTCCAATATGTCCCCTCGATCGGTCAGGAAAAACCAATGTTTATGATTGAGTCGGGAGAATTAATTATAGCAGCCCCTGCGGTTGATAGAGGCGGTGATGCGGGCACTCGCTCGTTCTCAAAGGTGAACCGAAAGTAGCTCTCCGAGGAAGTGAGAATAGGCCCGGAGGAGAAGCCAGTGTCTCTCCGGGCACTTCGCACGACGAGTGGCGAAAGTTTACTCGATTCCGCATTTCGGAGCATCTCCGAGAAATATTCCGACGAGTAAATAGCTTTCCCATGCGTTTATTGGTCCGTCGGCGTTTCACCTTTTTTTCTGTGTTTTATGGGCAGATTCAGCAAAATATTAGCAACGTGGGCCGTAAATCTTCCGAAAACATGAATCGAAAGCAAGCGCCACCCTGCTTCCGGCCGTCAAAGGGAAAAAGTGCCGCTGATTGACATCCAACAGCGGTCGTCGCTCATGGAAACATCATCATGCAATGACGGTCTTGGAATCTAGTTTCTATTGTTTTAGCGCAATTTATGGGCTCTGGTGGGAGGACGTACCCACCGGTATTCCTTTACATTATTTCCCAAAGGCGAAGAATATTCCGGGTCTGGAAGAAACGGCCGCATGTGTTGGAGATAATTTGTTGAGGGTGACCATGGGTCCCGAAACTCGGTGTTCACTACTCCGACGGAACTTCATGCGGTTTTTGTGCTCTCGCTTCCGTTGTCGACCGTACCTATTTATAATCGGAATGGTGATTCCGCGCGAATTGAAGCTCTCGTGTCTGCTTCAATTGAAGGGAATTAAGGTCACGAGAAACGTAGGGCAAATGGAGGAGGAGGACCTCCTTGCCGATGGGGTCGGAAACAAGGGTACAAGCTCAACCTCAATATGGATACGGAGTAAGGTTAACCTGTTGCCTGAACCCCGCCTTCGATGTGAGCGCCCTCTGGTTCTCCTGGTTCTCTCCCTTCCAGCACGTGAAGTTCTACGTGTTGATCAACAGTGACATTTGAAGCATGTGAAGCATCGACAGCGTTGTTGGCATAGTGTTGTGACGCATCGAGTCCGCGACTCGAAGGGCACCACTGCTCGCATGTTCCCACTGGTTCATCACGCCATGCCGTTCAGTAATCCAGACGCGC